AGGCTACCGGCCGAGCCAGCCCGACTGCCCGGTTCAGCGGACCGGCAGTCCGGTCCAGGCCGGTTCAGACTGGCTGGACCGGTTCAGTCAGTTATTATCAGTTTCAGTTCCGATTTTCAGTTTCAATGTTATTTTCAGTTAAAATTCCGGGTCAAGTTCAGTTCAGTTAATTAATAGCAGTTCAGTTTCGTACTTAGCCGGTTTCAGTTATACCGGATAAGTCCGAATGTCATGTCAGGTTCAATAGAGCATCTTAACATAATTAAACAGTTAAATTATCAGTCTGAGCATAGTCAGTAGTAATTGTTTATATTATTTTCAGTTTGATCAGGCATCACCACTACCGTTCAGTTTCAGCAGTTCAGGTGGGGACTCAGACTAAGTACTACATTGTTTATAATTATGCTACCATATTCGAGGTATGTATATTCAGTATCCGCTCGGAATGGTCGTCGGTCCATTCTGGGTTCTAGTGGCCTAATCTAACCACTAGAGTGTGCACATGGTCCGGTATTAGTTTGTGCCGGGAGATTGCAGTATTAGTTTGTGCCGATAGATTTCAGTTATCAATTACGTGACTTATGCCGCGAGATCAGACCGGTATCAGATATCAGTTTCAGTTTCAGTTTCAGTTCAGTTATATATGCTTAGTTCATGATATTGTTATTATTTACTATGTTTACATTAGTATGAGTTTCTGCGGAGCACAAGTGTTTTAGTGCTCACGCCCCCACGCATTTCAGGTTTTCAGGTCGCAGGGTCGGGGACGAGGAGTGAGCAGGCGGGCTGTTCAGGATATTTGTGATTATTGTATATATGTTTTGCCACGCAGTTATTTCCGCTAAAACTTTCAGTGCTTATTTTTAGTTTTTGTTCCGACGTTAGTCGGATAAGACGTTATAACCGTTTTTATTTATCAGTCTAAAATTTTAACGGTTTTTCAGAAAAATCAAGTTTTTCACGGTAACATCCCAAATCAGTTTTCACAAAATAAGTATATTATTTATTTATTCAGAAAATTGCGAAAAATCGCGTACTCTGATAGTATTAAAAAGTCGGGATGTTACACCTCCTCTAGAAATCTTGAGCCCATTGAAGCTGTGAGCATGGACATCAGCAGCAATTAATCTGGAAAGAGCTTCAGTGACAACAATGAAAAGGTAAGGGGATAAGGGATCCCCTTGCCTCACCCCTCTAGAAGGAGAAATGAAACCAGCCACCCTGCCATTCAGATTAAAGGAAAATGCAGAGGTAGATATACAAGCATGTATCCATTTGACAAAAGAAGGGTAGAATCCCATTTTCAGAAGAATGTTGATAATGCTGTGCCATTCTAATTTGTCAAAAGCTTTGATCATGTCAAGTTTTAGAGCCATAAAGGTCTTGCCTCCTGACCTATGCCTGTGTAGGAAGTGTATAGCTTCTTGGGCCAAGATGACATTGTCAATTAGCTGTCTTTCAGGAATGAAGGCAGACTGGCTAGAGCTGATGCAATGGTTGAGGCAGACCATGAGTCTGGAAGCCAAAATATTAGATATAATCTTGTAGGAGACACCACATAAGCTTATGGGTCTAAATTGGCTTAGAGAGGTAGGATTGATACACTTAGGCACCAGAGTGATCAAGGTAGTATTCCAGCTTTTGAGGATCATACCAGAGCTGAAGAAGCTGGTGATGGCTGTGCAGAGATCCTCTTTGATGATAGGCCAGAAATGCTGAAAGAGTAGAGGGGGGTAGCCATCTTCACCTGGAGCTTTATTAGGACTCATACAAAAGAGAGCATTTTTTATTTCCTCTTCCTCCACAGGGCAGATAAGAGAGTCATTTAAATCACAAGAGATAGTTTGAGGGATAAGATTAAGAATACCAGCATCACCTCTGAAGCCATCTGTGGAAAAGAGCTGGGAGTAGAAGTCAACAACACAGTCTTGGATTTTCTCATCAGTTTCTCTAAGAATATTGTTGTCATCAACCAACCGAGTTATGGCATTGGTTTTCCTTCTTTGAATAGTGAGAGCATGAAAAAATTTAGAATTCTGTTCACCCTCTTTTAGCCATTGATTTCTGGCCTTTTGCCTCCAGAACTCTTCTTCAGATGTATAAGCTTCATCCAGCTCTATTGTAATCTTGTTCCATTCATCCCAGTTCATGTTGTTGCTGTGTTCTCTCATTTCTTGAAGTTGTAGTGTGAGCCTTTCAATAGTTCCACTCTTGTTGATATTTAGTGCTTGGCTCCATTTAAGAAGAGCAACTCTGGTGGCTTTGAGCTTTTCTTTAACAGCAAACATAGGAGTGCCTTCATTAGGAGCTGACCACACAGATTTCACTGTTTCCTCAATACCTTCCATAGCCAGCCATCTCTTGTCGAAAATGAATCTCCTTTTTCTTTTGCTGAGTTGATTGGGATTGGAGTCCAGGATGAGCATAGTGCGGTCAGAGGCACTTTTGATGAGACTGGTGACAGTGGCATTGTTGTTAGAGGATAGCCATTGGAATGAGCCAAACACTCTGTCTATTTTCTCTTCAATGAAGTCTTCATGGCTTCTGTGGTTACACCAGGTAAAGGGGTGCCCTCTGAAAGGAACTTCATTCATGCCCATGTCAGAGATGAACTTGTTGAAGTCAGAATAGCTGGAAGGTGTTCTGAGTCTACCCCCAATTTTGTCAGCATCACAACAGATTTCATTCCAGTCGCCCCCTATAGCCCAATCTTGCCTCCATTTGGACTTGGCTTGAATAAGGTATTCCCACTGTTGAGCTCTAAGTTGCTTGCTGGTACTGGCATAAAGAAGAATTAGCCAGGATGTTCTTGTGTCTTGCTGAGAATTTTTAAACTCCACTTCAAAACAAAACTGGTTGCTGGAGATATGAGCAATGTCAATCACTGAGTCCCACATGAGGAGGAGACCACCACTGAGGCCCTGTGGTTCTACACATTTCCAGCGATTTCGAAAACCAAGCTTATTACAGACAGTAGAAATAAAATTTTTGTTTTTTCTGGTTTCTGACAAAAATACAAAATTGGGGTGGTGGGCTCTAAGATCCTCCCTCACCTGGGGAAATGTCGAGGGCCCACCCAGACCTCTACAGTTCCACAAGAGAACTGTCATTTGTCACTTTGGGGCCAGTTGAGGCTGGCTACCACCACCTTTCCGTCAGAGGGTTTGCTTCTTTTTCTTTCTTTTTCTATGTCACTGGATGAATTTTCAGTTGCTTCTGAGAGGGTCTTTTTTCTTTTCTTTGAGGATTCTGAAGTAGTCTCATTTATGGTGATACCTTTGTTTCTGCTGGGGACTACTGTAGATTTTCTATCAATAGAGGCTCTTTTCCATGATTTTATAGGAGGCGATTTGTTGATGCTTGAGGAGATTTTGTTGGGGGAGATTTCAATAGGTATCTCAACAAAGGCTTGATCATTCCCCACTTCCATGGTAAGAGCTTGATCCATAGGAGTGGGTTGATCTGGTGGGAGAGTCTCTTCCTGGATAGGGCCACCTTCCTTGGCTTTAGGGGTGGTTGTCTTCTCTGTCACCAGCATGTTTCTAGCAATTTTCTCGATTTCAACAGGTCTTGAGAATGATTCCCTGAGAGGATTATGGTTTTGGGTTTGAATAGCTGAGGAGTGAGATAGAGTTTCACTGGTTTTTCTAGGAGTAGAATTTGGGTTGTCACTTCCCTTAGAAGGGGAAGAGGTTGGAGAGGACAGGGACCATTTATTTGGGCTTATCTGTCGGGGGAGGAAATAGCTTTCAGTGGCTCTCAGCCACTCCCCAAATTGTCCTTCATTTAGCAAGCCATTTGTTATGTCTTTTTCTCTGTCAGTGCAGAATCTGTCAAGGTGCCCAAGTTTGCCACAGTAGAAACAGAGGCTAACAAGCTTTTCATATTGAAAAGTGACTCCTATTTGCTGGTCTTGAAATTTGATGTTAGTACCCCTAGGGAGAGGAGCATTAAGGTCCACCAGAACAAGGAGTTTGAGGAAATTACCCTTGACTCCCCCAGCTTTGATTACTTGGACGTTCTTCACTTTTTTGAAGATACTGCCTATCTTAACTCCGACATCAGTTGTTAGCCATTGAAGGGGGATACGGTGAACGTGGACCCATAAGTTAAGTTCCGAGAAGCACTTGCTATCAGCAGTTAGACCAGCCTGCCATTCATGAAGGATTAGATATTGATTATCGAATATCCAGTTGATACCTGAAGTAACCTTGAGCTTATCTGAGTCTAATCCAAAAATAAATTGGAAGAAGTTAGAGCTCAGTTCTCTAATTTCTATGGTTCCTTCAATTTGCCAGATAGATGTCATAGTGCGCTTTAATCCCAGCAGGCTTGCTTTGCGTTCTCCCACAATCTTACCCAGAAGGCTGCGCTTGCATTCCTCTAGGCTTGCTTGAACATCATTCACCGCTATTTCAATAATGCTGGCTTCTGGACGACATAGGGATACATTTTTGAGACGACGCCCTAGTTCTTCTTCCAACCCTTCAGAATTTTGGGGAGAAAGGTCAGGATTTTCCATAAGGAAACCCTAGCTACGGATTGGGAAAGAGACGCTAGACAAAGGAGGACAGAAAAGGAAGAAAAGGAAAGGGAGGGGGGTAGAAGAGATTGAAAAGGTAGTTCACACCATGAAAATTCGATTCCCAAGCAGGAGAATTCGCCTCTCAGCTGAGAGAATTTTTTTGTAGATTTGGGACGTCTTGTATTTATCCTTGTTTATTAATAAACAACTTTATTTATAGATTATTGTTGTAAAACTATATAATTTATATTTATTATTTTGGGATTGCATATTATAAAAATTAAAAATTTAAATTCCAGGTGGGCCTAGGCCCCACCTGGGCAGGCTATAGCTCCGCCCATGGTTGTTGTACCTGCTTGCGAGCCCCGGTTTGTTCTTGCGTGCTGCCGTTTACACGGCCATACCCGAACCATTGTTGTTCGTATGTCTGGCTCTCAGTTCAGCATTCAGCAGCCCCGCTTAGTCGCTCGCAAACGCTCGAAATCACGCGCGAGCCACCCGCCTTGTTGTCGAGCCGCATTTTAGCCACGTTTTGTAACCCCGTCCCGAGAAGGTACCCGAGCTAACTCTTGATTTATTTATTCCGCCCCTATATGTGTTTTAGTGTTTGTATACGTGATAAATTGCTGAACATGTGAAATACGAGTCAATTACGTGCTTTGGATAGGTTATTGTGTCGTATATTATATTTATATGCGTTTTGGATATCAAAGTGATTGCCGTCACTTTGGTTTATTATCGAACTGAGTTTCGAGTGGTATTTTTCGTGGAAATCCTTGAGTTATAGTTACTTGGAGTTGTTCTTGATCTATTGGTTTTGGTTTGAGGTCGTTTCGATGTTTATATCATGAGTTATGAATTTTCTAACCGAGCATGCTGCTGAATCGTAATTAATTCATGATAAATCGTGTGATTGTCCAAATACTGTGAAAGTTTATATGTGTTGTCCTGCGATGATTTTGTAAGTCATGTAAAATTTTCATATCGAAACTCCATCTGTAGTTATTTTATTTAATTAAATTGGTTTCTAGTCAGAATTTTATAAAATTCATTAAAAATCGTACACTTGGAGTTTTGAGCTGAAACTTTGAGGAGTATGTTCTTTTGTGTTATTCTGTGTTGTGTCAAAACTTTAGATAAAAATTCGAAGTGTGGCTATATGAACTATAAACATCGGATTTTGGCGATGTTTTTGCTTAAATTGTTTAAAACTTTTCCCGGATGAATTTAGGGCTGAAACTTGGTGAGATTATGTGTTTTTGTGTGCCTTGCAATGTGATAAAGTGTCAGGTTTATTAGTTGAGTCTAACTCCAGATTCTGAATTTTGTTTATTTTAGAGTCTTAATGCTCGGTTATCCGTTGTTTAGGTTTGGATTGGATTTTATTGATGTTGGCATGATTGATGTGTTTTACCTGAGGTATAAGAGTTGTGTTCAAGTCTTGTAGTTACTCCATTGTACTTAACTCGGTCAAGGAATCCACGAGTCACTTAGTCGATATGATTTCTGCTAAGTATATGTGCTTTGTGTGTTGTCTTGTATTGGATAGCCAGTTGATAGGCTATTATAATTGTTGTAGGTTCACCAAACTGAACTTTTTCCATAATTCCTCCAACTCTGTGGTTGGCTATATCTCATTATCCAGGTGGGTCTTATTCAAATTGTCTATGTTATGAATGATAATTATTTATTTATGTGGGTGTAATCAATGTATGCATGTGAACATGTAACCTTCGATGTGAGCTATACCGACCATCGAACGGTTATCCCCGTAGTTATAGAACGGACCTCTTTGGAGTAATCTTCTCTTTACACCAATAAGACCAGGGTTGTGCTCGGTCGGCGGTATGTGACCAGGGCGGAGCTCGTTCGGTGGATGAGACCAGGGCGGAGCTCGGTCGACGCTACGAACCCCGTTGTAAGTCCAATGGCGGAGCCGGGCCTTCGGGGGGATACTCCTACTGTTTGGGCATCTTTGTAAGGCCTGAGCGAAGGCATTTGATACGTGTATCAGCAGTAGTCTATTGATATAGGTGTGCGCATAAGACTATTTATGACTTTGGAAAGGAGATGGGATAGTTGATTGATTCGTATACATGTTGTGACCATGCCATTTAATTTCTCGTATATTATTATTGTTCATGTGCATAGTAGTGAGCTCTTCATGGATGCAGGTTAAGCAGGTGTTGGCTGACGAGATAAAAGACGAGTGGTGTTGGTCTTGACTGACCTCCTTTAGTTTATTTCGCATGCTAGTAGACATGTATCTATTTATGCTTAATTATGACTTCGGAACTTTGGTATGGTATTTATGATATATGACTTTGAGATTTTTGGAACTTTGGTTTGGGAGATGTTCCCTTATGAATAATTTGGATGAACTTGGGATTTATGAAAACATTGAATTATGATTTATGATTTATGCGAGTATGAATTATGTTATTTATGTGATTTAAGTTAAGTAGCGCCACCGATTACGAAAAGATTTTGAAAAATTTTAAGTTGACTTTTTTTGAAAAGTCCTTGACTTTTCGTCAAATAAAAGTGGGGCGTTACAGTTTGGTATCAGAGCCAGTCTGCATTTCTGTAGACTGCTCAATGTGATTTATGTGCATTTATGAATATATGAGTATACGCATTGACCACTCGTCTTCGTCATGCCGCACCGCTTGAGGTATGTAAGTCATAAGTAATGTTGAGATTATTCATGGAATGAATTGTTTTATGTGCTATGTCTTGGGGCTTAGGAAGATCTATCCACCTTCGATTGTCTTGAACTCTAGTGTTTGTTGACGAAATCTAGAATTGTGGCACATATATATTAGTATTATATCGTATTAAGCTCAGATTTTGGCAGTTCTTTTGCTAAAAAGTGTTGCTTAGTGTCTTCGAACCAGGACCATTATCGATAGCAGGACTAACTGGAGATGACTTGAATCGATGGTGAAGGAAGTTAATCGTGGACCTGTATAGCTACATCCGTTTTGTTTTCTTTTCTTAAGTTTTTGCTTTCCCGAAAACTTTGCAGACCTTTGTTTATTTTCCTTTCGCGTGGCAGAGAATTTCTCTTCCTTTGCATGGGATGAGATTTCAGATGGAGTTAAACATTTTAATTCTTTGATGATCCTTATCTATCCCCGTAAATTGAGAATCTTGTTTTGTGATGCCACTATATCAATATGAAGTTTGGGAGTCGAGAAGTGTTGTTCCACCTTAAAAGATTTTGAGAATCTTTTTAAGGAGGGTAGCCGTGCTAGGTGCAGGCACATCATGGAGTGCAGAGCCACCTTCATTTTTGATATTCGTTCATTGTA